TGAAAAGTACTTTATAAAAATATATCACTGTAGGAGAAGCACTGAACTGCGAACCACAATATGGGTGGTTTGAGCCCATCAGCTGCTGTGCAGTAGAAAGATGAGACTTTCTGCTCCCACAAAGATTTACAGCCTTGGAAACCCAATACAGGGTCACCATGAGTTGGAAACAACTTGATGGCACTTAACAACAGCAACAACCATTGTCACACATAAAAAATGAATGATTCCAGCCAAATTTCCGATTTTCTCATGTGTGGAGTGGAGTCTTGGTGTGGCATTATGGGTTAATGCGCTGGACTGCAAGGTCAGCTTGAACTGCAAGGTTGGTGGATCAAGCTACCAGCCACTTCTTGGAAACCCTATACAGGCTCACTATGAGTTGGAACCAACTCGATAGGCACTTAACAACAATAAGATAGATAGATACATAGATAGATACATAGATAGATACATAGATAGATACATAGATAGATACATAGATACATAGATACATACATAGATAGATAGATAGATACATAGATAGATAGATACATAGATACATACATAGATAGATAGACAGACAGACAGACATAGAGTATATATGTGTGTGTGTGTATTTGTATCAGGATCCAAATTAAGTCCACATATTATAACTAATTACACTGTTTTTATTTGTTTGTTTTTAGCAATCTCTCTTACTCTCTAGATTCCCCATCCATCCTTTCCCCCTTTGGAATACATTTGTTGAAGGAACCAGTTTGTCCTGTAAAGTTTTGCAATTTTGCTGATTAACGTATGGTTAAACCACATTGTGGTTTAACGTATTCCCATATTCTTTGTTTTGTTTGTTAAGTGTTGTTGAGTTGGTTCCTACTCATAGGAACCCTGTATAGGGTTTCCGAGGAGCTGTATACTCTAGTACTTGTCATTTGCAAGTGGGATCTAGAGACTTGGTCAGGTTTAGGTTTAATATATATATATTTGCCAGACTATTAAATAGGTGTTAAAAAGAAAAAGACCAGTTGCTGTGGCATCTGTTCCTGTTCATGATGACCACATGTTTCATAGTAAACTGCACATAGGATTTTCAGTGGCTGTGACCTTTCAGACGCAGATTACTAGACCTTTGTTTCAAGGAACCTCTGAGTGGAATCGAACGGCCAGACTTTCAGTTAGTAGCTGAGCACCCAACCCTTTGCACCACTTAAGGGCTTCATTTCACAGATGGTTGTATACTAATGTCATTTTCATTTTTGTCTTTTATTAGTATTTACATTTTCTTAAATTTCTCCTATAAAAATGCTTGCCTTCAGAAACCAGATAAAAAATAAAGATCATTCAGAGGGGAAAAAAAAAAATCCTGAGCTTACTATGGGTAGGAGAAGTACTAGACAGAGGCAGTGCCCAAATGTAATCATTCCCATGTGCATATCCAGAGTTGACTGCATTTGTCGTTGTTTCTGCCAGTTTGGACAGTTCTCATGCCAATTATAGTTGCTGAAACATTTTGTATGCTGCCGTATCAAGCTTCTGCACTGTTATATCTGCCTGTGTATCTCATGGGATCTATGAATAGATGTTGTAGGACTAAACCAGTCCAGCTGAATCCTCCCTTATTTTTCTTCCATTCCTTACCTATAGCAATTTCAAAAGTATTTTATCTTCAATTACGTCGTGTTGCAAGTTTGGTGTTTTGCTTTTTTTACAGGTAGGTTGCCAGATTACTTCCATAAAATGATATGTGACCTTGGTATATCCAAAACACTAATTGAAGCTCCCACTTTATTTAGAAATTTAGTATTGAGAGTTGAAAGGAAACCACCCACTTGTTCGTCCTCTTTTGTGTTTGGTAAACTCCTAAGGGTACATTAATATGAACTGTTGTGTTACCACAGTGGAGGAATCAGCTCTAGTGCGTGGAGGTGACCTTTTCATTAAGGTTCTCTGTCTGTGGAAGAAGCTCTTTTCCGAAGAAATGTTGTTTCATTACACACACACACATTTCTTCTTCTTTTTAACTTTTTATTGTAAATTGAGTGAAGGTTTACAGACAAGACACAGTTTTACATTTGACAAATCCTACACTGTTTCATCTCCATGACTGCAGTCCCTTCTATGTAACAGCACTTATCCCACGTCCTCCCTGTGGTTCCAGTTTCCATTCCACCACCCTTCCTATGCGTTCTCAACTTTGTTCTTAGGAAAATGTTGTCCTTTTGATCTTGAAGGATTGACCATTCCATGCTGAGCATACCATACTAATGTTGTCCCCACTAATATACCTATTTACTGCTTGGCTGAAAAATGAGCCGTGAGAGGGAATTCCGTTCCAGACCTGAAGGGTGGTCGAGGGCCATAGTCTCGGATTCCTCCAGTCTCCATGTGGCCAGTGAGCCTGGTCTTTTTTTTTTTTTAAATATGATTTTTGAGTTTTGTCCCACATTTTCTTCCACTCTATCCAGGACCTTCTAATGTGATCCCTTTCGTAGTGTTTCTATTTTACACATTTCTTCCTTTGATATTACTGCAACACCTTGTACTAAGTAGCAGCCACATGTTGTGAAGTGCTGTCAAGTCAGTTCTGGCCCACAGTGACCCTGGATAGGGTTTCCAAGGAGCAGCTGGTGAGCTTGAACCACCGACCTTGCTGTTCAAACGACTTTGCAGTCTGGCACATTAACTAATCCTCAGCGCCACACCAGGATTCCAGCAGCCATATCTCTGAACCTGAAATGGATTTATGGATGGGATCATTTTATTTTACTAGCTCACCTTCATCTGTAGAATGAAATCGACTTCTCAATGTCATCAAAAGCTCTTAATGGTCTGACTCATGTCTCTCTCCTCCTTTATCCCACCTCTGTTCTTTATGTTTTTGTTCTGTCAAGCCACACATCAACCTGTTAAACTCTAGCTCCCTTTTTCCCTATTTGAAGCCCTCTTCTTCTGCCCCTCACCTTTTCTGCCCTGTTTTCTTACCATTCTCTTTCAAATCTCAGTTTCCTCTTTGTTATTATCACCTTGTTATTTATAAGCATACACATACATAAATACAGATACCTGGGAGTAAAGGTTCTTGTCTTACTCTTCTGAAACTAGGCAGTTTACCACTGGCCTCTGCATGCAGTAACTATATTTGTTGAATTGAGTTTGAAGCATAGTGTATGATCATGGAGTGTGAGGGATACAGCAGGTTATTCTAAAGTAGCCCAGGTCTTGGAGGAACAGTATCTTTATTACCATTAATTTTGGAAAACTACCCTTTCTTCAATGACGTTAATATCCTTTCCCTCCCCCTGGTTTGTATTTGTGCTGGTAATCATGCTTGGGAAGGGGACATTGCAGACAGTCTGGATTACCTCCCAAGAGTGTCCTTTCAAGTACTCTGGAGAGAACAGCAGTTGTGTCACATGCTGCTGTTGGGACAGGGATGGAAACAGCACTGAGGAGCAGGATGCTCCAGAGCCCTTACCCGAGGCCTTGTTAAATTTGCTTGTTTGTTGGATGATGAACTGGCATTAGAAGATGAATGGCCTGGGGGAGCTCTGGAGGTTTATTTCTGTTAAGCTGCTTCCTTTCTTTAACTCATATAATTAGTTTAAGTGGAGGGGTGGGAAAATTGGAATAGGGATGGGATGTTATTGATGACTGAAGGTTAAAGTTCTCCTTGTTGCTTTCTATCCCTTATTCTTTGTATTGTTTTAAAACTGTTAATTTAAAAAAATGTTGTAACAAAAGTGAATTCACAGTTCCTCTGCTAATCTTTGTTTGTGTGTATGTAGCCACACATACACACAGATGCTGTTGTTTTGAATGTAATAGAATTGTTCAGTGATTATGTCAATTCTTAGGTGAGTTGTTGAGAAGTGGTCATTTCAGAGTGATCATTTGTAATCAGCCCTTGCTCACCCTTGTCCTCATTGGATCAATTGTGATGAGACTAGCTGATAGCAGCTGTGCTGTCTGTTCACATTTCTCCACCTGTTCGTAAATGTCTTTTTATGCTTGGTTCTTTGAATAATAAAAACTAGCTTTTAGATGTAGCTTTTATTAATTAACTCTCATGTTACTTTGCTGGACCCAGTTCCTAAAAGGATCTCTTAATTGAATAGAATGGTCTCTGATGGAGCTTTTTCAGTTTGTTGCCTTATGTTAAGTTCTAGCCAGTTGCTTCCGACTTGGTTTCCAAGGAACAGCTGGTGAGTTTGAACCACCAACCTTACGGTTCAAACCGACCTTGCGGTCCAGTGCTTATCCTACAGCGCCACACCAGGACTCCAAGGTTGTTGTCTGACTCATAGTGACCCTGTATGGAGTTTCTAAGGAGCAGCTAGTAACTTTGAACCACCGACCTTGTGGTTCAAACCGACCTACAGTCCCATGCTTACCCTACAGTGCCATACCAGAACTCTTAATTGTTGCTGTTAAGGATTTCCAAGTAGCAGCTGGTAAGTTTGAACTGCTGACCTTGCAGTTCAGACCGACCTTGCGGTCCAGTGCCTATCCTACAGCGCCACACCAGGACTCCAATTGTTGCTAAGTGCCATTGAAACAGTTCCGACCCATAACGACCCTGTATAGGGTTTCCAAGGAGCGACTGGTGAGCCTGAACCACCGACCTTGAAGTTCAGCGCGATATTGCAGTCCAGCACATTAACCCACAGTGCCACACCAGGACTCCGATACTAGGGTCTAATTTAGTAGAAAGATGTTTGCTTCATCATAACAGCTTATGAAGGCTGACTTTCTCCAATATCCTAGACTCCCAGGCTTTACAGTTGAAAGAAGGCTTAAGAGATTATTTGGTTTAGTGCTCTCCCTAAACTAGCTCATTAGGTAAACTAGCTGCAATCCAGAAAGTGAAGCCATTTATCCAGGGTGATTTAACTAGTTAGTGTCAGAACAAAAAACACTGGACTTCATTTCAGTCTGTTTACAACACAGCCTGTAGTACACAGATGATCTTTTCTGAAAATAGCTTAGTTACATCATATTTCATCCGTTTCCCTTCTCTATAGGTTCTTTGCACTGACATCCCTTCGTCTTGTGTTTCTGCTTGCCTTCAGCTTGATGATTATTGTGTGTATAGATCAGTGGAAGAACAAGATCTGGCCTGAAATAAAAGGTGAGTTGATAGCATTTAGAGTAATCTGAACTGGAATTTCTTTCTTGTAATTTTCACTTTTTCTTTTGGGGACTTTTTTTTTTTTAACTTGAGTGGGGGTGGGGAATATCATCTGATGTTCATTTTAGGGAACACTTTGAGGGGCTTTGTGCCTGGTTCCATACTTTTCCATGGTTATTAAACTACACGAAATCTCTATCACCTAAAATATTGACCCTAGGAATAAGTAGTCCTCAAGTTTGTTTTTATAATTCTCCTCACTGAATTATATATGTTTATAAAGTACTAAAGGTGTGTAGCACTGTGGCTTAATGCGCCAGACTGCAAAGCCGTTTGAACTGCAAGGTTGGCTGTTCAAGCTCACCAGCGTCTCCTTGGAAACCCTTTACAGGGTCACCATGGGTCGGAGCAGACTTGACGGCTTAACTTAACAGCAACAATAAAGGCCCCTTATGGCGTTCTGGTGCTGTAGGATAAGCACTGACTGCTGACGTAACATTGGTGGTACAAGCCCACCAGCAGCTCCTTGGAAACCCTATACGGGGTCACTATGAGTTGGAATAGATGATGTCACATAACAACAACAAGGAGCTCTGGTGGTGCCGTGGTTAAAGCACATGGCTGCTAATGTAAAGGCTGGCAGTTCAGAACCACTAGCCACTTCACAGGAGAAAGCTGTGGCAGTCTGCTTCTATAAAGACTACAGCCTTGGAAACCTTATGGGGAGTTCTGTTCTGTCCTATAGGGTTGCTGGGAGTCAGAATTGCCTTGACGGCAATGGGTTTGGTTTCTTTGGATTTGAAGTACTTTGTCTTTCCTGAGGCAGTATTGATTTTATCCCTCAGGAATCTTTAAAAATTGCCTAGGTACAAAGCATTAAGCTAAATCTTATGTCATATTAAAATGCTCCAAGATTCAGTTCCTTTTACTCAAAGATTTTACATTGTGTTTGGGTAATAATACATAGATATGTGAAAAGGTAAATGACGGTTATGGAACAGTACCAGAGATATCACGGTACAGCATGTGATCAGCATATTTGTCAGTATCTTGGGCCCTACCATAAGTCTTTCAAGAAACAAAAGATTTGGAAAGGTAGAGTGAAAAGTCTGAGCTTTTCTAGAGGTGCCAATAGCTTGGTTAGTCTGAAGAACCAGAAAAAACTACAGAGTACCTCCTGTGATGAGGAAATGGATTGTTTAGACTAGAATGGACCATTGTAGGAAATAAAAGTAAAAGTATGCTGAAATTAAGTTTTTATAAGGCCTTAAAGTTAGGGCAAGCATTTTAGACTTCATCTTATATGTAATGGTGGGTGGTCATTGAAAACATTTTTTTAAGTTAGAGTGATATGCTGAGATGATCATTTAAAGATGAAACGGTATCATTTTGCGGGACCATGTAGAAGGAGCAACATGAAAAGGCGGGAGCCCTGCCAGGAGACTGGCAGTGTATACGTGAGACATAGAGAATGTCCCTGACACAAATGCCGGACGACTGGGAGAGCTGGGAAGAAGGAAAACGACACATCAAGACTAATGAATAGTTAGACATGGGATTAGAAGAATAAAGAATAAATAAGAGCTGACTTTGTGACTTCAAGGCTAGGATAATGGGAGAATGGCATTAGAGTTAGCAGGTATAGGCAGTCCAACAGGGGAGTTGGTTTGGATAGAGGTAAGAGAGGAAAATTTAAGTCGATTTTAGACAGGTCATTTCTGAAGTGTTGGCATGCTGTTCATCCCAGAGTATACAGCTTTTGAATTACTAGGTTTCATCTAGTTCACTAGCCTGTCTTAAGGCTGGTCAGTGTCAGCATTTAGGGTAGATCATGGGTCTCTTTAAAAAGAGCAGGGAAATTTCTAGAACTGAGGAAGTTATAGCATGCCTTGGTAGCTTGGCACACATTGACATGTATGAGCAGCCCAGACACACTCAGGAGGTGAGATGGATTGTCTTTCCTTCTTATAGATTTTGGCTTTTTGCTGTAACAATTAGGACGATAGTGGTCCATGCAGACCCCTCTGCTGAAGCAATGAGCAGGAATAAGCTATCCGTTCCCTTGTCTACAGCTCCAGCTCCCTGTGGTGTCTTCTTTTTATTGGGTATTAATTATTGTTTTCTTTTCCCCAACCCTGTTAAAGCGTGAGCTGTCAGACAGACCAACAACCTAACGTTTTCATGTTTAGTTTTCCCTACCAACTAATGCTGGTGTTTGTTTTAATGTTATAGTGCCAAGACCCGACGCATTAGACAATGAAAGGTATGGAACACTAATGAAATCCTTTTTGTTGCTCTGAATGATTCTTATGTTGTAATATACTGGTTATGGGTTGGCAACTCCATGTTCTGCACACACAGTGTAACTTTTGCAAATCATCATTTTAACAAACCCTAAAGTTCAGGCAGCTTTATGTTGATATGGCTGTTGCTATTTGAGCATTAAAACAAGAGAAGTTTCTGAAAAAGAAGTATTACAGTACCCTGTAAGCTGATAATGCCAGGGCACTGAAAACCTAGAGGCAACGAACTTCATTTGTTTCCTGGTTTTAAGATCAGATCATTTAGTGTTTTCTGTGACCTTTTGCTGTTTAATATTTAAATTCCTGGTCAGAAAACATTGGTTCCTGGTATCAGCAAGCCAAAGATTCCTCTGTGTCTTCCAGCTTGTGCTCTCATTTCTCAGTTCATTCACCATATATGTTTATTTCAAGGATGTTTCTGACTCTGGTTTATTTTTGGTTTGATTTTATTTACTTTCTCTCTGAGGGGCACATCCACCATAGCCTCCTCCCCCAGCAGCAGTGGTGTCAGACTGTGCTCTCCGTTGACCCCTGGATTGCGTGCACAGTGAATTGTACTGGGCTCAGTGCAGGGAGACAGTTTCTGAGCACAAAGGGCCTCAGACCTGGTGGCAGGTTTACACATGTGGATGAGGCTGCTTGCTCATTGCGTAGAGCTGTGTCAGAACAAGTTTGCCTTCCTCATCCCTAAATTCAAGTTGCAACCTGGCAAGCCCACAAAAAAGTCATGCACCTCCAAAGCACTTGGAACACTCCAGCTCCCTATTGAAACCCAGAAATATTAGCTGCCTACACAGCAAGATGGGGGGCCCTCAACACCCCCCATTCACAGCTCCCCTTCTCTCTCCCATAGCTGGGGCTTTGTGCACCCTCAGTTGCTCAGCGTGCCCGAGCTCTGCCACCATGTAGCTGAAGTCTGGGTTAGTGGGACCATTTTCATAAGGAATCTTTTGCTTTTCAAAAAGCACAACCCAGGCAAGGTAAGACTTTTCCCTTTTTCACGGTCATCTCTAGCCCCTCTGTTCAGTTCATGCTAAACTGAAACAGACCCTTTCTTACACATCCTCATTCAAGAAAGGAAAAGCTGCAGTATCTTTGGAGATGTAGGGAAGTTGGAGGAGGGGCTTCTGACAATCACTAGGACCAAGGCAAGAGCTTGGCAACTCCTTGTTTGGTGTCTCTTTCTGCCCTAAGATGGGAGAAGCAGCTTGCTTGTTTACGTTGTGTCATATTGAACATGTGGTAGGTAGTTGGGTTTTTTTGTTCAAATTTTTTTTTACTTTGACTTAAAAAAACAACAAAAAAACTCACTATCAATACCTGCTTTCAGAGAGAATTTTTGGTAAAGTCATATTCAAACCAATTTCCCAGTATGAAAGGTGAAGCCCTATGGGGTTAGCCACATAAAAGGAGTTTGAATAGACGTGTCCTCTTTCCCCCCAAACAGAATCAACACCTGAAATGAATTCATCTGTCATTCTGACATGTCCACAGTGAACTTGTAAAGAATCATTTCTGTCAGAAATTCACCTGTGCCCCTGTCCCTACCCCTTCTCCCTCTCATGTGGCAAAAACTTAATGGTGTTTTCTCACTCCCCCAGTTCTGCTTGCTGAGCTGTGGGGTACTGACCTTTTTGGCCGTCTTGGGCCGCTACATCTCTGGGCTCCTGTTGTCCTATTTAATGCGTAAGTATGTCATACACCTCCACCGTGAGCTATACTGTACCAGAGCTTGCCAACCATGGCTAACTCTGTTTAGGGGAGGGCTTTTATAGTTTGGTTTTCCAGTTCTATGACCTGGTAAATGCCATAAACTATCTCTCTTCTCACCTTTACCAGGCTCCCCAAATACACAGTCCTTCTCTTACCAAGTCAGTTGTAGAAATTAATGAGAGTTCACTAGTATGTGCTGTATTGCCAGCTATAATGAAGCTTCTGCTCCTACTCAAGGAGGGAAGTATTTGAGTCAGTGTACAACAGAATCTAACTTCCAGGAGATCCTTCACTAAGCTCAGTTTACCTCTAGAGCACTTTTTTTGCACCAAGAAGCACATTTTTGTAAATTTAGTTACTTCCTACTGGCATATACACTGCACCGTTGGCTGGAAGAACTGAGAAGCAGTGGTATGGCAGATCCACCCCACCCCCAATGAGTGTGTCATTTCTGAGGCATTTTCACCAGTTGGCCTCAGTGACACCATTTGCAGCTGACTGCACTGCCTGGGGTTGCACTCGGCCTATCTGTGGCATGTTCTGAGTGCCTCTGCTGTGCAGAGCCTTGCACTAGGCCCCGGGAGCGGTTGCAGAGGTCCCTGCCCTCACAAGTAGAAGCAGGAGACTGAGGAGGCAGAATGGAGCAGAGATCTTCCGCACTGAGGGGCCAAGCCCAAGACACATAGCAAAGGGGCAACACGCTTGCTTCATGCAACCCCTTTTCCCTTTTGCTACTATTTCCCACTCCTCTCAGTTGTCACTGTCATGATGTGGCCCCTGGCTGTGTACCACCGACTGTGGGATAGAGCATATGTACGGCTGAAACCAGCTTTGCAGCGGCTGGACTTCAGTGTCCGTGGCTACATGATGTCCAAGCAGAGAGAAAGACAATGTAAGTGTTATTGGGAAGCTGACTTCCCCTTGGGTACTTTGGGCAGGGGAAGGAGAGGCTGTGTGTTTTAACAGGTCCTTAAAAGTTGAAGTGGGGGTTGGTGCAAGGTGGGAGATTGTAGGGGAAGGTGATATTATTGTACATAGGGAAACCTATGTAGGTGTACTGATTTTTCCCTTTTGGAATTCTAGGCTCTTTCACTTTAGGCAAACCTGAGAAAAGTTCTCCAAGTTCAATAACAGACAAATACTAATGACATCCCTAGTAGTAGCGCTGTGCATGAAGCACTGTCTGTGTGACCAGCACTGAGCCGGCTGCTTCTACATACATTGTCTTATTTAACCTTTACAGCTGGCTTGCGAAGTGAGTGCTATTGTCTGCTTTTTACACTTGAGGACATTAAAGCTCACAGTTAGTAAATGGCAGAGCAGGTCTTTTCAACTTCTAAGCCTGGCTTCTCTTCACTACCTTAAGCTACCTTCCAAAGATAATTAAAAACTGTTAGCTCAAAGACCAAAAGTAGGCTAGCTTAAGAGCCAGCCATCCAACACATGAAGGATACGGGTAGAAATTTCTTCCTCTCTTCTTTGGTCTTCTTTTCTCTCGGGTTGGGTGGTTCATTAAACCCCAGCCTTCAAAGAGACCTGCATGTGTTCTCTTAAACCCAGCCTCCTCTGGGTCAGCCAGTTGAGAGGTCATCCTGCAGAAGCTTCAGTTAACCAAGGTGGGGTATCCCCCTTTGCCCTCGCTATGATATGGCTTACTTATCCCATTGACATTGGGTCTGCCTTTAGCCAATCCTAAGAGTGGTTGACAAGTCTGCTAGTGGATCATCTGACCAGAACCAGACTGTGTGGGGTTGGTGGAAGGAGTACCTTTGGAAGGGAGACTTCTCCTGGGTTTCCAGCTCAGCAGAACCTCCCACTCTCAGCCGTTGTTAGGGCCATTATTGAGAGTGGTTCTCCCTCTTCTAGTCCAGGTTTTTGAATCACCACCACCAAGGGTGTCACTGCCTTTTGTTCTTTCACATAGTACGCCGCAGAGCTCTACACGCAGAACACGCCATGGACAACCAGAGTGACAGTGAAGAGGAACTTGCTGCCTTCTGCCCTCAGGTTTCTTGGGGTGGGGGAGCTGCTTTTACTAGTTGGTTTTCTTTAATGTCCTCTGACTCATTTGACCACTGTGAACCACTTGGCATAACTAGGTTTCAAGCTCATGATGGACTCTCCAAAGTGCCAGAGCAGTTACATGAAAAGGAGCTAGTGTCTACAGGGCTTCAAAAAGTTCATGGAAACATGGAATTTAAAAATAATGGAAATTTTCCATGAACTTTTTGAAGTCCCCTTGTATTAGGACATTATTCCTAGATCTTAATTTGAACCTGATGACCAGCACACTTGTCCTTGCCTCCTTTTAATGCAACATAATGGTGGAACCTTGGGAGCTGGTTTGATCATCCTTTAAATAGCCCCAGGCTTTTAGGTCTGACCAGCGTGGGTATCCTCCTGACTGACCTCCTGTGAAGAGTTGAACCCCAAAACTGCTTTCTTTCCTATGCTCTAGGAAGGATGAATAAGGGTGTTTTTCTAGGGGAGCAGCCTTCAAAGATTGTGACTGAAGTCCCCACTTGGCTAGCCTGATGATTTGAGGGTGACCGTCAGTAACGCGGTAGTTGGGGACTGCTCCTGGATCCTCACAACATCATCCCCTCAGGCTTGTTGGTCTTTTCTTTTCCTAAGCTGGATGATTCTACTGTTGCCAGGGAATTGGCCATCACAGACTCTGAGCACTCGGATGCAGAGGTGTCCTGTACAGACAATGGCACGTTCAATCTTTCCAGAGGCCAGACTCCTCTGACAGAAGGCTCTGAAGGTGAGGAGACCTCAGGCCTGAGCTGATCACGTTGCCACTCATCTTCCCCCAGCTGTGGGAGGGGAGACTGGGGCCTTGGCCTGGCCTGTTTTCTGAGGTGTGGATCATGTGGGAGAGAAGCCTTAGGGGCGTGACTATAGCCAGGGTGGCACTGCTGTTTTCCTTGTAGCCCTGTCCTTAGAGCCTTGAGTTGTCACCTCACAGGTGGCCTAGTGGAAGAAGGGAGGGGAGCTCCTGGGCCAGTAGTAGAGATGACAGTCATCTGTAAGTGGAGGGGAAAAGCTGACCTGTCCCCTCCGTGGAAATCCATAGTGGGAGAGGTCTTTGTTGGGCTGGGCACAGGAGGGCCAGGCAGATGCCATGTCTCAGACATCTCTGTATTCTTCCAGATCTAGATGGTCACAGTGATCCAGAGGAATCCTTTGCTAGAGACCTTCCAGACTTCCCTTCCATTAACGTAGATCCTGCTGGCCTGGATGATGATGATGACACCAGCATTGGGATGCCCAGCCTGATCTACCGTCCCCCACCGGGGGCCCAGGCCCCTCCTGCCAGCCGGGATGAGGCTGCACTGCCAGAACTTCTGCTTGGTGCCCTGCCTGCAGGAGCCAACCTCACCAGCAACTTTGCTAGCCTCGTCTCCCAAGGCATGATCCAACTGGCCCTGTCAGGGGCCTCCCAGCCAGGCCCTTCTGGTGCCGCTCCCCGAAGAGCAGCAAGAGGCTTTGTCCGAGCCCCCAGTTTAGACCTGGACACGGATGCTGAGGGGGATGACTTTGAACTTCTCGACCAATCAGAGCTGAATCAGATGGACCCTTCCAATTCCAGGAACCACTGAGCAAGAGACACTCCTTTAGGGTGTGGGGGAGGGGGGGCACTATGGTTTACGTCTTTTTTTCCCCACCCCACCCCACTTTAGGTGAAGGGACGAGGGGAGAACCTAGGTCCCATCCCCCGACACGTGTTTGTGTGCTGGGTGGCTTGGTGGATACTCCAAGACTCAGAGAGGATACTCGATCCCCAACCACCAGCTGGACATTGTGTGAGCTCAGTCAGAGGAGAGTGTGCTCCCCAGGGAGGCCTCTCCATCAGTCAGGGTGGTACTTTTGGGTAACAAAGTCGTCAGGAGTATTGGTTCCCCTCTGAGGGATGCTGCTGCTATCTTCTCACTAAGAGAAGAGCCCATCACTTCCTTCTGGTAGTCACCTCCCTGGAGCCTTCCAGAGTCAGGCAGCAACTGGAAGAGTTTCATTGTTGCCTTTTTCTGTTGTTAAACCATGACTTGGTTTGGGTTTGTATCTAAGCAAGCTTGTCCTTTGGTTCTGCATAGGAGGGCTGCCTTTCCCTTCCACTCCCACTCCAGCACACTCTCATTTCTGGAGGTCTGACCTCCAGTCCTCCAAAATAATGCTTGTGAAATTTAAGAAATGTGAACATGACGTGCAGGCCAGGAGGGTCAGGGAGTGTATCCACAACTCTTGGTCTCAGTGAAGCCCTTGGAACTGCCTGCTTGTCTTTGGTGCTGTTAACCCCCTGGTGCCATTTGACCATCAGCCTGAGCAACAAGCTAAGCAATACCATACCCATTTCTATAGTCCTGCTCCTTGCCCTGCCCCTCCTCTGGAGAAGTAATAATAACTCCATGGGGATGACAAAGTAGCACTTTACAAATGGGACAGTGGCATTTATCCCAGGAACCACCAGCTTACTTGTACCAGCTGTTCCTACTTCCTGTTCAGCTCCTCTACTGCTTTTATTTTCCAACTGCTTCCTGTCTTGGCAGGCCCTCTTTTAAGGATGAGCCCAGTTCACAAAATTGTCTATAATCAGCAGAGATCCCTGTAAGGGGCATTTATTCTGCTGCTCCCAGTAATATCATGTGAAACACAACCCCAAATGGTCATTCATTCCCAGTCCATGCCAGCTCACAGCCTCTGCCTCCCTAATCAGAGCTCAAGCCAAACTTCTGTCCTCTTTCCCTCTGCATTAATCCTTTGCCAATCCTCAGGGACCACTCCCCCAGCACTCTCATACCTGGGTGAGGGATGTTACAGCCCATTTTCATGTGCTGCAAGTGGAGGGGGGTTGCTAATATGTTCGCTATTGGTTGTTGGAAAGGTACAGAGGCCAGGGAGGGAGAATAGTTAGGTGCCTGTTTCACAGTTGCTTACCTTGGTGTGAAGGGTAAAGGTAACGACACACACACACCTTGCCCCTCCCCTCCACCCCCACCCTCTATGGTTCCTAGATTTGGGGCACCTCTCTTCTCAGGGCCCAGATGTCTTACAGATGAGCTCTGCTGTGGAGAAAAAAATGAAGGTGTGGGAAAGGAGAGGGATTTGTGTGTCTACTTGAGTGTGTGGAGGTTCAAACCTTGGGAGCTGTCAAAAGGGAGCGAAGAAGGAAGAAGAGAGCAGAATCTTTGGAAGGAGTTTCTCATCTGGGGAATCCTGCTCGCTGGGAATCTCAGCCCTCCACTGTGAATTGGGGGTGGGTGGGTGGGTGGGTGAGTGAGTGTTCGGGAATAAATCTTGTATGAGAACGATCTTTAAGGGACTGGTGTTGAATGGTGTCCCACCTTTGATAGGTCTTCTGTTAATCTGAGATCAGATTAATTTGAAGAAGTGGCAGCCTCAGAAGAGGAAACCACCTGCCTGTGCCTATTTTTCCTTTGAGACAGAACAATCACCAGGTATGAGGCCACGTCCCTTCCCCGGGACAACCCAGGCATGCTCCTAATTGGCACTCTCCGCTAGCATCTAGCCACAGTTTTCACAGTACTGTATAGTCGATTCTGAGCCATAGCGACCCTGTATAGGGTTTCTGAGGAGCAGCTGTAGTGTCTATCCTAACAAACGAGAAGTCCTGGTGTGGCGCTGTAGGATACACACAGGACTACAAGGTTGGTTTGAATTGCGAGGTCAGCGGTTCAAACTCACTAGCCAGTCTTTGGAAACCCTATACAGAGTCAGCCATGAGTGGGAACCGACTCCACAGCACTAACAACAAATGAGAAGACGTACGTTTTAGGACCTACAGAGATTTTAGGGAGCATAATGTGGCGCTGTAGTATAAGCACTCGACCACAAGGTTGGTTTGAATCCCAGGAGTGGTGGTTCAAACACCAGCAGCTCCTCGGAAACCCAATATAGGGTTGCTATGAGTCGGAATCAACTTGATGGCACACAACAAGGCTTTAAAAAGTACTACCACTGGATTGAGCTGCACGGACAGCTGCTCTTTGGCCTTCGGCTGACCTCAGAAACTAGAAATACTTATTTCAGGCTCTGTCCTTTGGGCCACTGTGGGCAGTTGTGGAAAGCACCTGTCAGGTGTTACCAAGAGCTTGACTGGACCAATAGGAAGCTGCTGCACAATCAGCGGTTTAGGAGTAGCCCCCTCCAACCGAACGTTTCCGTTCTCAAAGCACGACGTGTGTTGAGCGCCCCCTGTGTGTGAAGCTGGGGAACTGGCACGCGAGGGTAGAATGCTCTCGTTCCTATTTTACAAATAATGAAAGTGACCGGCGAACGAGCTTTGGCTCGTGGATCAGGGCTCATCACTAATTGCCCAGTGCAGGAGTTGATGGCTAAAGGTTCTTTCCGTTCAAACACTGGGCCTAGCTCAAGAACACCGAGTGCTATCCGAGGCTAGAAATGGGTCCCGACACGTTCAGGCGTTCTTTACTACAGCCTTCCTGATCACGGGGGAGAAGGGAGAGGCTCGAAGGCCTGACGCCCCAGTTCCTCCGTTGGGGCCTGGCGGTCCGGCCCAGGCGCCCAATTTTCAGACTAAAACGGCCCGTCTCTACGGTGTCCTGGAAAGGCCTTCCCGTTCGTCGGAAGGCGTTGGGTTCAGCCAATCACCGGAAGAGGCCGTTGCCCCGAGCGACAACAACGTCCGGTTTTCGGAGTTTGGCGGCGGAAAAGACCATGAGCAAAGGCCGAGTGGACGCGGCGGCGGGAGGTAATGGGGCTGAGGGCACGGAGACAGCTCGGGAGAGGAGCGGTGAGGTGGTCCTGTCTAGTGACTCTCTCCCGCCTCCTCCTCCGTAGCCCCTGGACTCCTACTGAGATACCTGCAGGAGCAGAACCGCCCCTACAGCGCCCAGGACGTGTTCGGAAACCTGCAGCGGGAGCACGGACTTGGCAAAGCGGTGAGGCCCACCTTCCAGGGTTCCCGCTCTGTGGTACCCCTCGAGTCAGTCTGGAGTCCTGACTCCAGCTGGACTTCCCGGCTTGTCTGGCGCGTTCTCATAATTTGCTGAAGTCCCCCACCCGAACTCAAAGGCACTTCTGATTGTCCTGCCCCCTCCCCTCTGCCAGGCGGTGGTGAAGGCGCTGGAACAGCTGGCCCAACAAGGCAAGATCAAAGAGAAAATGTATGGCAAGCAGAAGATATATTTTGCAGATCAGGTGAGGGAAACCTGCACAGTTCATCTCGTGTGAGAGCCCAACATTGGGTGAATCAATTAGTTATCACCTCTTCTTGGGAGCATTTTGGCACCCATGAAGCGTATGCCTCTTCACCTGTTTACAGCCCCATTGTTTTAGCCTGTAATTTAGGAGAATGTTCCTTTATTCTTGCAGCTCATTGAGCTGTTTGGGGGGTTGGGGATGTACCAGACACATTGGAGCTCTATAGGATAAGCACTTAGCTGCTAACCACAATGGCCGTAGGTCAAATCCGCCAGCCTCAGAAACCTTACACACAGTGTGGAAAGCCACTCAAGGGCACTTAGTATCAACAGCCAGGCACATTGCAGTCTTTCTGACCCGGATGTGTGGTCCCATTTTCGCACCTCAAATCAGCGCCCCATTAAAATTTCCTCATCTCTGGCAGGACCAGTTTGACACGGTGAGTGATGCTGATCTCCAAGGCCTGGATGCCAAGCTTGCCACCCTCACTGCTAAGGTGCAGAGTCAGCAGCAGAACTGCCGCCACCTGGAGGCTGGTAGGATTGGGGAGCCCTGGAGGGTGCCCAGAGCTGCTTTTACTGACGGGGTGCTTTGTTGACTACGGGTCTTGTTGCTGTAGCTCAGACTCTTTAGCTGGGCTGTCTTAGGTATTACATGAAAACGAATGGCTTTTGAATGAAGTGTTCTTTATTTCTGGGTCTTGTTCCCAGTTTCTCCCTCTTTAACTGACTAAATGCTAAGTCTGCTCAACCTCACAGGCAATTCTGTAAGCCTTGCTTACCCAGGCATTTCCAGCTTGTAGCTTCCAGCCAGGCAGAAGCCTGGTCTTCTACATCAGGGAACACCTTCTGGGAAAACTAGAATCCTTTCCTCAGGGGGAGCCATGATTCCATGGAGATGTGGTTTCAGAACTGAAAGAGCTGAGTAGTGCCCTGACCACACCGGAGATGCAGAGAGAGATCCTCGAGTTACAGAAGGAATGCGCTGGCTATACGGAGAGACTGAAGAACATTAAAGCGGCCACCAACCATGTGACTCCAGAGGAGAAAGAGCAGGTGTGCAGGGCTGGTGCAGATCTGGGGGTGAAGACAGGTTGACCCCCATGGGTGGGGCTCAGGGGGCTAGCAGAACCTGTGTCTTCTGTGTAGGTGTACAGAGAGAAGCAGAAGTACTATAAAGAGTGGAGGAAGCGGAAGCGAATGGTAAGTGTGTTAGAGCCCCAAGCCTAGAAGAGCTTTTAGAAAACAGCCATCACCGGAGACAATGCTACCACGCTCCGTCAGGCCGTTCCCAGCATTGTCTTGTCTGAGGAGGATGGTTTTGTTTCTTGTCAGGCAACGGAACTGTGTGATGCGATTCTGGAAGGATACCCCAAGAGCAAGAAGCAGTTTTTCGTAAGTGAACCTCTGTCCCCTCCACCCTGCTCCTTTTGGGTCTTGGTCTGGGGAGATCTCATTCACTTGTCTCCCTTCCCACAGGAGGAAGTTGGGATAGAGACAGATGAAGATTATAATGTCAAGCTCCCAGACCCCTGAGAAGGCCCCCTACAGTTGCTGGGGACTGACAAAGCAGAGGTCCTGGACTGTTGGCTTTGTTGTTGCTGTTCCTGCTGTGTTTCTCCTGAGTGGCAGTCAGAAGAGGGGCATAAAGTGTGGAGGGAAAGAGGGCTGTGTCCTGAATGGCGGTCAGGTTCATGTCTTTGTCCACTTGCAATCTCCTGAGCTTAATTTACACGTGCAGCAATGCTAAAGGAATGCATTTGGCAATATTTATTTGTAATGTAGTTTGTTATAAAAATATTTCATTTCCCCTGGATAGTTAAATTTCCCAGATATCAGCCTGAGGAACTGGGCATGGGGATGAGGATATAGAGAGGCTATTATACATCAGCATGTGAGGAGCCCAGGGCTGTCCCAGGCTCATACATACCCAGAGGCCTTTATTTTATACTTCTGTCAGCCCACCCCTAAGTCCTGGGGGAAACACAGGCAGCACTGAGAGAAAGTAGAGACCCAGACTGAATTCACAAGAGAGGTTAGGAGTGGGTTTGAGATCCAGCTAATTTTCCAAAGTCCTAATTTTAGCAAAATTGTATTGCTGTTGAGAAAAATAAACATTTTACAACACATAGTGCTGGGTCATACCTGCTTCCCCCTACAGCCCAGAGCAGGGGAAGGAGGGAATGGCATATGAGGAAAGAGTAGGAGCCTGAAAGCCCTTTCCCAAGCTGGCCAGGAAATCCCGGGTCGCTTTGGACTGACCTAGCATCCCTAGCCTAAGTAAGAGGCTGCCTTTGAGGCCCAAACAGGCAAACAGCAATTTCTACATATACGTAACTCATGAGCTAAAATCTGAGGCTTGGAAAAAGGACTGAGACCTGGGGCTCTTTGGATTTCCTGAGGACTTCCATGAGGTGGGGGTGGGGGGGGGGGGGGGAGACACTGGGTAAATTTGAGTTTTAGTCAGTATAATAAATTAATCAGAAACTTTACCAACACGAAAACCCCAAACCACTGAGGGCAGAGTGGCAGTTGAGAACCAAACACCAAGTAGAAACCAGCTGACTGGTGTGAGGGTCACAATCCTATGTCAGGCCCACCAGCTCCTTGGGCAAGTAGAAGGAGATTCAAGGGCATCTTGTAGGCTGTTTAGAAGGTTTCCATGAGCTGGTCAGTAAAGCTGGTTTTTCAGTTGGTGCAGAACGCCAATCACAATCTCTCGTAGGGTCTGGGAGGGATGGCAGAAGAGGACAGAGACCATCAGACAGAGGACAGAGAGTCATCTTGGGCATTACCCACCTCAGCCAGATGGTGTCTTCTGAATGCATTAAAAGGAGCCCTGGAAAGTATACTGATGTCTACAGGTTACTCTGAAATACCCTCAAATCAGGGAGAGATAGCGACATATGTAATAAAGCCAATGCAGTAACATGTTAATAGTAGAATGTAGGTGGTGGATATGTAAGTGCTGTACAATTCTCTCAATATTGTATGTTTAAAATGTTTCACAATGAAAATGTTGGGAAATGGAGAAAGCAAGTATCTCAGCTGTAAGTTCAAGTCTCAGAAAATAGCAACTAGGGTCCTAATACCATTAGCATGCTTTTCCATGACAAATAATGACAGTCACAATAACAAGCCACTAGGGAGACTATTTTAGTGGGTCTGGGGTTGGGGCCCAGGAGCCTGCAGGTGACTGAACTTACACACTGGGCTGCTGAGGAATGGTTACCAAACAATGAAGGGGGCTAACTGGCTGAGTGCGAGCTGGGCCTTGCATTGTGTTAAGTGTGTGCTCAGATCATTCTTGCCAAATACAACTGCACAAATGCCCTTTAGAAATCCAAAAGCTGAATAAGTGATGGCTTGGGCCACTTTGCCTAAAGGTAGGAAGACAGCCCCAGGATGACACTTACCCCCCTCAACCATGTTGCCCCATACCTGAGGCTTACAGTGCTCCTCAATCCAGCTGAAGACACAGGCTGACAGCTCTTGGAAGCTGGCCACAGAGATGGAGGCATTGAAGGACTGGAACAGGGAGTCCATGATGCCTTGAAATAAGTTGAACTTGACCTGGTCAGAGACCTGGTCCTCCCCCTCATGGGGGTTGTCCTGATGTGCCTTCACAATCTGTTCATAGTTCCTGAAAACGAGCAGGTCATTGATGAGGTGCTGCAGCAGATGTACCAGTCCAGAGAAGAGGATGGGTTGTCCATGGACCTCCCCAGAAAGGGGCTCCCCAAAGCTTTTGAAATGTGTTCAGCATCAGCTAGGTATTGTTTCTGGGTCAGAAATGTTGACTCTCTTTGGCTAACCTTCCCTTCATAGACTCAGCAGGCATTTCCTGAGGGGCTGCTGGGGACTGACAAGACCTGCCTCTAACTGACGGGGCTATCTCCAGGAGTAAGGGCTAGCTGTACTTGAAGTCTGACTCAAAGTCCCCTCAGAAGCTCTGGTTCAGCAGCTGGCTTACACTTTCATGATCTTTAAGGCCGTGACATCCTTGCGGAGTGTGGACACCTCCTCTTCCTGCTTCTTCTTTTCCTTGTGCAGAAACTGGATGTAGTCAATGGCTGGAGTGGGAAGAAGGGGTGGACACAGAATCTCAGTCAGGGGGACATGGCAGGCTTTGTCTCCACTGTCCCCCAGCCATCCCATTACAACCACCACACCAAGGCCAACCCCTGTGGGTCCCCGCCCCATCCAATGTTCTCTCCATGGCCGTACTCTTTTGGAGAACAATGGCTTTGCTGAGCTTCTGAGAGCCAATGGAGAAGTCCTGCTGCTGGCAGGTAGGGACAATGGTCTGAAGGTCATCATAGCCTCTCTGTGGAGACAGTAGGGAAAACAGAGATTCCTTAACCCTCAGAACTTAAACTAGCTTCCGTTATGTCAAGTTCCATGCTCACAAGCTCAATGGAGTGGGGAGAAGAGGTTGAAAAGAGAGACGTGTTTAAGTCCAAAGACTAGACCAGCTGACCTCAAGTGGGCCTGGGATTCTCTGACAGGGCTGGGGCAAAAAGCCACTGAAGTCTGGAGGGCCCTCCTGCCCAGGTCACAGTGCAGGTCTCCCAACTCACCTTGATGGCATCTCTCCTCTTCTGCTCAGCTTGAGTGTGAGCTCGCCGCCGCCGGTCCTTGTAGGACTCCTTGTAAGACTGCTGGTGGTAGTCACTGTCTTCATCATCTGTGCTCAGAGGTAGGGGCAGGGAGAGGTCATCCTGGGGCTCAGGAGGGCCTAGCTACCCCACCTTTACTTAGCTGGAAAGGATAGGAGATGGCAGAAGGGCAGAAGGACCTAATAGCCTAGATGAGGTGAGATGGTGGGAACCTGTGTCTGCCACTAGGGCTCCAGTACCACCAAGTGTGTGTTCAGAAAAGTGTTAAAATGATGACATAGCTTAGTGCCCCAGGGGGAGACGGTGCTGCCTACCTGTGTTAGGGACTGAAGAGGCACTGGTGGAACCGATGCTATTAGCTCTGGACACTACACTCCCCTTGCGGGCGCTTTCTACAAAAAGTCCTGAAAAAGAGAGGCCTCAATCACTAAGGGGTCGGGTGGGGAACGTTCCCAGGCCCTCAGACACCTGTGGACACAGTGCTTCCTGATCCTTAAACGCTGACCTCACTCCCCTTCAACCCCAAAGTCTGCCAGACAAGGCTCAGTGGCGCTGCTCCTGAAGTTTCTACTGCTCCACTGGCCTGTACTGACTCCTCCTGGCTCTCAACGGGGCATCTGGACAGAAGGACAAGAGAGTGACCAGCTGTCACTGTTTCCATCACTTCCCTGCCCCAGAGCAGAGGGAACTAACTGGGTGTCACTCTTGATTGCTTCCTGTCCCTGTCCTCCAGCTCCTCCCTCGCTGTCTCAAGAGAGCACTGTGCTCAACTGTGGCTGGCAAGGTCACCGAACTATAGGGCTGAAGCTGAGAGCGGTTGGGGGCACTCACCAGGGTCCAGGCTGTTGTCGCTGTAGGCATACTCCACCTGAGGCACCGAGCAAGGAAGAAGCTCGTCAGACCCCCGTCCCTGGGGGAAGGCGCCCCAGTTCAATGTGTGCACAAGCGTCCACACACACCTGGGGCGAGCAGACAGGAAGGACCCCCGAGTGGTCCCCACTGCACCCCACCCCTTCGTCCCCAGGACCCCACTCTAGCTCGCCTCATTGTTTCCCCAGCGTTAACTCTAGGTGCGTGCGGAATCAAAACTGTCTTCTCCGCAGTCTTGGGGCCCGGAGTGGGGGGGAGACTTGGGGAAGAGGGGGTCTTCCGAACTCTACGTGCACAAGCCCGACCCGCCCTCGTTTCGCTGGCATGCATGCCTAAGGGGCTTGCCTTGACCCAGGGGTCTTCGGGAGAGGCAACCGGCTCCGTCATCTTGGACCCACCAAACCGGAAACAAATCAGCGGGTGAGCACCCTCCGCTGAGGAAGAGGGAGGTGTGCCCATGTGACCCAAACCCACCAACCCTCGGTGAAGAGGCGGACAGAGGGTGTGGTGGTAGTGGTGGTGGTGGTAAGTATCGCGCATGTGCATTCCAAGGATTTTAAAATACAGCCCAGAGAGTTAGGACTAAAGGGCAAAACTAGGGCTGTCTTCCTTGTCCGTCCGCCACCTCTCCGGGACTAGACACTCTGGAATGGCGATTTGAAGCACATTCTGTGAAGTAGGGTCACCTCCAGAGTGCGGCAGCTACGCGCATGCGCGCTGCCTGGGTCTAGCTGACCCCGTGGGTGTGGCCTCCCAGGCCGTCCGGTTGGCTTCGGCCCTTGGGGGGTGGGACTGGGCGGAGCCTCCCGAGACTTTTTTGACTCCGCAGGCTGCAAGCTCTTGTGAGTGCAGAGACTCAGGTGGCTTGTCTTAAGTAAGAGATTTCCCAACACCCCGTCCGGGAGGATGCCTGTCTGTGAAACTGTCTTATGCAGCCAATGGTAGGCCAGGGCTGACCTCCATTTGACTAACTCCAAAGGCCATGTTCTGAACTACTGCACTCACTGGTTCGTGCCTGAGACCCACATTTATGGCACCGAGAGAAACCCAGAGGCGCACCGCAGCAGGAAGCAGACACAATACATTCACCAGGCAACACTCAGCTTTAATTCTGTTACAGGTGTCACTGTTTGCCTTGGCCCCAGTCACAGTGACTATCACAGACACTCCTGGGCGAGAGGTGGAGTGGGACACCACTGGGGTCTGCTCATTCATGAACCACATCCTCAGTGCGGGCCATGTAGACACAGCAGGCTGGGCAGGCCATTCATTTTAGAGCCCCCTGGGTCCGAGCCCATAAGCCTCGAGGCTCCCACTCCTCTCACCCCTGGGTCTCTTGTCAGTTCCTGGGACCAGTCCAACTCCACAGAGAACTCATGGTCAATCACTGAGTGCCTGACGGCATTCTGGGGAGGCGCTTCTGCAGGAGGCCCCAGGCTTTCTCCACCTTTGGGCATGTCAGAATGGTGGAAGAAGAAAAAGAGGGCATGGTTGGGCAGGCAACCCCCTAAACACTACCTCTCCACAACCTAGCCTTTCCTTGGGCACCAACCTGGTGCTGAGTGACCTGCGGCTCCCACAATGTGCTCAACACCACATGGCTCTGGTCCACAAGCTGCTGCCCACTCATCTGACTCTGCAGCCGGCTTTGTGCCGCAGCTTCACTCAGGCCATCGCGCTCCACGATGCGCCGCACAGCCTGGGCACAGGTGAGGCATTTGGTCAGGAAGGATGCTGAGCTCAGCAGGCTGCAGTATGCAATGGGGGTGTGGTGGGGACTGAGCTGCAGATACCTCAGTCTCAGGGATGACAACGGTCCACACCTCATGCACCATGTTCTGCCAGCCGGCTTCAAGCAGCATGGCTGCATCAATCACGCACACATGCTTTCCTGTGGGAAGACCCTAGTCACTGCCAGCAACACCCTGTTATACTGGCCCCCAGTTAAAGTGCCCAGGAAATGGTCCCAGGGAAACGTGTCTAGTGAGAGCCAGGGAAGCTCCCAGAATCTGCTTAAGTGTCCTCCTTGGCTGCTCATCCTTCTTACACACCCTCTGTCACAGCCTGAGCCATCTCTTCTTGGGCTAGCTTTGCAATAACTGGCCACATAATGTCTGTGAGTATCTTCAGCTGCTTCTGGAAAGGGGCAGAGAGAGTACAGGTAGATGTTACCTTCCCTCAGCGCTGGAGCTCCCAGAGGGGGTGGTAACGGGAGCAAATGAATAAGAATCAGTATTATTCGGGGCCAGACCAGAGAGGTCAACTGGATCCCAGCCCTTAGCCCCTGGATAGGTGTTTACCTTGTTCCCAAACACCCGGCTGCCTAGAATCTTCCTGTTGATGATGCCATCTTTATGAAGAATATCTGGATGACAACATTAGAGACCTGAGCAAGGAGGCCAGGTGATCTCCTCACTTCAGGTCACCTCCAGCCTTCCCCTGCCATTACCTGGTCCAAAGGCTTCTACTACAGGCTGGTAGGCAGGGCCGCCTGGGGCATAGGCCCGATGGCCTAGGTGGTCACTGTCGATGACGTAGGCCCCCAGTCCCTTCAGCCGACGAGCTATTGAGCTCTTCCCAGAACCACTAATGCCCGTCAACCCAATCACGTAGAGATTTTGGGGAAGCTCTGGACTCTTCTGGGGGTAGATGAGAGAGGGAACCCCAGTTACTAAGCTCATGCTTGGGGAAAACCCCTGGGCTCCATCATCCAATATGTCCAGCCCACCTAAGTGGGTTGGGGACCTACATGTGGTGATCGAAGCAGATTTCCCAGCATTCGGTGGCGGAAACTGGAGGAACTGACTTTATCCTCTTCATTTTCCTTGTGACTTGGATCCTTCAGCAGCTGGATCTGGTACAAGGCAAGCTCCTCCAGGTTCTGAGGTAAATGGGGAGAAGTCGGGGGAAGTAGAGAGGGCTGAGAAGGGCAAATCCTGACCCCCAACCTGCCCTTTCTTCCCCTAAATCCCATGCTCCTGCTTCAATTCAGAAGGCATTCTGGGACCCAGTTCCTTCCCACCACCTGGAACATTCTCTTCCCTTCTCTGGGGCCACAGTACTTCCAACAGCCTCCCACAGTAGCCTTCCCCACTCCCACCCACTCCCTCTGCCAGTCTCCCTCAGGGGTTACATTCTCAAGGCGGAAGCGGTTGACAGCCATCCCCCCACGATAGGTCTCCTCGCTGACCACCAGGAACTCCAGAGAGGGGTCAGAGCCAGCGGGCCCATAGGGGTCCAGCAAGGGGATGAGATCAAAAGTCAAGGAGGGCTTGATGTCCACCAGGAACTCACTCAGATGTTCCACACGTACTGCATAGGGTTGGAGCAGCTCAGGGAGCAACTTGCCTGGGGAAGGAGCCGGAAAAATGGTGAGACCTTTTTTACTGGGGAGAAAGAATATGTGACAGTTTGGGCGATTTGGAAAAGGGTATTCCTTGGTAACTGTATCTCTAGAGGGAGCGGTGGGCAGAGTGAGCCAAGTTGGGAAGTGGCCTGTGGGTGGGGGGCCGGGAGGAAGCAGGTGAGCACAGTAGTTGCTGGACGGGTCAGCCTGTACCCAGAGAACAAGCCACCAGCTAAGCACTCCAGAGAAATAGCAGTGCAAGTGGGCATGAGCCAGATGGAGCATCACAAGATCTAACACCATCTTCCAGGTCCTCTTAGTGCCTCTGGCATGACTCCCTACAACGAAGGTGCCAAATTTGAAGGCTCATCATCTGGAGAGCTTGTTGAAGATTCCCTGGCTCCACACTGGGGGAATCATGATTCAGTGGTAACTGGCCCACACATTAAGACAGCTGGATCTATTCATTTGACACAATTTCCCTAGCACCAACCGAGTGCCAGGTACTACTGCACGTTTGGGACAGGTGTGAACTAGTGGATGTTCTCACCCTTCCTCAATCCTGACATACGGAGAGGGCGCAAAGACTTGGGGTTTTCCAGGTTCTAATCCAGGGTCCCTGTCACTCACTCTTCAGCAGGTCTCTGTCTGCCACTCCCACCACAAGCCGCTCCTGGGCCAGGATGCAGGAGACGCTGAGGAGCACCTTGTGGGCATTGTGTAGCCGGTCAAACGTGCCACCCACAGCCCCACGGTGATAACCACGCACTGGCTGTTTCGGAGACCTGGCAACAGGGGAGGCTGGCTTGACGGTAGAGGATGAGGGGACATCCTGGGGCTCCAGGGGTGGCTGCTTAGAACCATACTCGGGATATAGCAGCACGGAAGACAGTTGTGGGCAACAACTGTAACAGCTGGTGGCATAGCGCTCTAGCTGTTGCTTGACCGGGTTGTACTGGCTGCCATCCAGGGTCTGGAAGTCAGTCAGCACTACTTCGGGTGGGTGGGCCAGGTTCTGGACTGAGCTGAACTGAGGAGGGAGAAAGGCGCTTTTGGCTCGGATATTGGTCAGCAGGACCCGGATGTCCAAGTGCCTGTGGACATCGGCACCTGCGTAGAGGTGAGTGATGACATCAAGGACCTCAAACGTGGCCTGCACAGGGCTGGACTCGGGCTGAGCGGGGCCTTCCAGGCTCAGGCCAGGCTGCAGATGGACATAGAGCGTGTGGTTCACCAGCCGGGCCGCCGAGGTTAGGATGGGCGCCAGGCGAGGGGTCAAGGAGGCCAGAGGCGTCGTCAGCACTAAGAGGCCTGACCGGAACGCGGCCATGCTGCCCGGCCTGCGGATAGTTAGGGAGATGAGACGAGGGTGATTGAGGGGAATGCGGCCGACGCCGAGGGTGAAGCACGGGCCTTGGACTCCGGGGGAGGGGACCTGGGTCAGGGGCAGGGTGTCAGTGCTGATCGAGAGGAACCTGGGAGACGGAGAGGGAGCTTGGCAGATAGCCCCCGGGGCTGTCGTCTGAGTCTCGGTTTCCTCATCTCTTGGGCAGGGCGGTGAATTCACTGAACCGAATCGAAATGCTGGGAGTAGGAAACTGGGCAGGAGCCCTGAGTCACAGGCTTAGGGATCTGGGAGTCCTGGGGCCTCTTGCTAAGCTGCACAACGATCTTCAAGGAACCGGGGGTTACGGGGAAGAGGTACAGGGGGTATTCAGACTCGGCCCCTACTCACTGATGCCTCCAGGCTCGGCTCGGGCTGTAGGGCCGAGGAGGATAGCCGACCTGCGACCCGGAACCGCTAGCTCAGGAGACATGACTCCGAGCTACGGTGTCTGAGAAAGCTCATATTACTCTTTTGGGCCAAAGCGAGATTCTCGCGAGCTTTACCGTGACTTGGTGCCGGTCCAGCCGATGGGGCGGGGCTGGCTCCTGAGTGTCCGTAGTCGCGGGTCCAAGCCCCTCGGAACCTGAATGGAGAAGGCAAAGGAAATTTGAAGATTCGTTTCATGGATCGCCTTCGGGTCACCCTGCAGGCAACAGCAAAGCCAGAACTAACATTCGGCTTAAATTATGGAGACGAAGGTGGGTGTCGTAGGGTTTTGCACATGAACCAGGGTTTGTGTCTCCGAAGCCCGCCTGGTTCCTTCCTAGTCCGAGAATCCTCACGTGAAAGGCACAAAACCGTCCATATCTCACAGATGAGAAAATACGCCCTGTACGTTCAGGCGACATCTAGGGAAGTCATGCGAGGAGCCGGTGCTTCCGGCTCCTCTGGGGTGCTCTCAGCACCAGCCAGATGCAGCGATGAGCCTGTTTGTGGGGTCGTTAAACGCGAAGAGTTCTGCGTGTAAAACTGAGAAAAGGAAGTGGGGACAGGGGATCTGAAAGGCCAAAACGGAGTCCAACGGTGACGGATTTACCATGAAGCTAATGAATGCTAAAGGCTAGTTAGTGAGAGTCTTCGTGGTGGGGAGGGCAAACCAGGCTGCTATCTATCAGGAAACATTTTCAATCAATTGCCCAGAGATCTCAGAAGAAAGGTAAACGAATCGCCAAGGCTGGAATAACATGCGTTCGTTATCCTGAACTAAATAAACACTTCTTCGTAATTTTGTTTGTCCTTTGTAGTCTTTTTCTTAAAGTGTATCAGCCTCAGGCGCCACAATACTTGGAACTGATTTTGGAGTCCAGGATCAAAGAGTTGTAGAGCCACAAAGGCATCTTAAGATGAGTTTTAAACAGAGGACCCGATTTGAAGAGGCAAACAGGAAGAGTTACCAGAAAGTGATGATGTCCTATGCCCACACGCCAAACCAGAAATCAATCCACTACCATCCAGGTGGCTCTGACCCTACAGGACAAATTAGAATTGTCCCATGGTGTTTCCAGGGCTAGAATCTTGACAGGAACAGACTGTAACATCTTTCTCCTTGGAGTTGCAGTGGGTTCCAGCTGCATCCATTCTAGGGAGCAGCTGAGCCCTTAACCACTCACTATATCAATAGGACTCCCTTGCCCACACACAGTAACGATTATTTAGTATTATCTGTATTTGGTTGATTATGTGCTATGGAGTCAGTTCTAACTCATAGTGAACCTGTGTAGGGTTTCCGAGACTGTAATCTTTACTGGAGCAGAAAATCTTATCTTTCTCCTGCAGAATGGCTGGTAGTTTTGAACTGCTTACCTTGAGGTTAGTAGCTCAACTCATAACCACTACGCTACTAGAGTCCTTACATGTGTATTTAATGCTTCCTAAATGCTGGTGTGGACTCCTGGTGTGGCGCTGTAGGATCAGAACTGGATTGCGAACCACAACGTCAGCAGTTCAAACCCGCCAGTTGCTCCTTGAAAACTGTATACAAGGTTGCTATGTGTCAGAACCAACTCAAAGGCATTTAACAACAACAACAAACTGGTGTGATGCTGTAAGATCAGCACTGGACTGCGAACCACTAGGTCAGTAGTTCAAACCCACCAGCTGCTCCTCGGAAATTTATACAGGGTCTCTGAGTCAAAACCAATTCGACAGCACTTCAACAACGTACAGCCTGGATGGATTCCTGATGTGGCACTGTGGAATGAGCACTGGACTGCAAAACACAGGTTGGTGATTCAAACCCACCAACTGCTTCTCAGATACCCTATACAGCCTGGAATCCTGGTGTGGTGTTGGAGAGAGAAACAGAGTCAAGGAGTGCAGCAATGACTTTGGACTGAAGAGTTGCTCTTTGGGCAGCCCATTAGGTCTATTAAATATCAAGTGGAAAAGATGAGTAGGCAGTTGAAGTTACAAACCTTGAATTTGTGGGTAACCATGGAGATAGGTGGTTTGTTTTTTTTAAGGTGGGCTCATCAACATATGAATTCCACTCAGAGTCACAGGACTGCATGAGGTTTTTAAGGTATGAATGAATGTATGGGCAAGATGGGATGGCATGTCTCCTTCCAGCCCTGCCCCAGGTATGACCCTCATACAGAGACTCCCACTGAGACACAAAGGAGCACCTAGGGGAGAGAAGCTGGACTCAGAACAGGTCCTATGTCTCAGAGCTTCATTCCACCTTGGCCTGTCCCCTTCCGAGGTGCAGTAGGGGCAGCAGATCCATCTGGCCAGCAAGGTGAGGCGGCTCCTTCCTGTCTGTTCCACAAGAGCACAGGGCAGGCAGTGCAACAGGCTTAGAGAAGAGCCTTCTATGGCAGTAAAGGCAGGTCAGGCTGTATTTAGCGCCTCCTTCCTCCAATTCCCCACAAGAGCCCTAAGAGCCCTAGTCTATTCCCACGTCTCCAACTCTCTGCTACCATCACCCCCTTTGCTCTTTCCCTGCTTTCAGACTACAAACCTGCCTCAGTACTGTCCCTTAGTGGGGGCCTGGCTCCTTTCCTCTGCTTGCAACTTCTTCACTTAGCATGCTTTCCACCCTTCTCATGCATCAGGTGTTCTGGTGTGGGGCTGTGGGCTAAAGTGCTGGACCGCAAAGTCAGTTTGAACTGCAAGGTCAGTGGTTCAGGCTCACCAGCTGCTCCTTGGAAACTCTATACAGGGTCACTATGGGTCAAAACCAACTTGTTGACACTTAACAATATAACATGCATCAGGGTTCCCAGGAAGACTGAAGGAGCGTGTTACCACAACCTTGTAACCAAATTCTGTGATTTCTGACGCTCATGCCCCCTCTGCTGTGCCCAGGAAGGTGGACAGACCATTGGGTAGATCAACCAGGAACTGCAGGTACTGCCCATTTCCATAGTGAGAGGCCATTTGGGGCTGGTAGAGACCTCTCCTGTTTTGTTTGGGAGTAGTTGGGGGGAGGAGGAAGTGGTAGGAAATGGGACCATCTCTCTTGGATTCATTTAGCCTTGTTCTTTACACATCTGGCTTTTGAATGGGAATATAATAACAATAGAATATTAGTGGAGGAGTCCTGGTGTGGCACTCACTGTAGGTTATGTACTCGGCTGCACAGTCGGTTTGAACTGCAAGGTTGGTGGTTCAAACTCACGAACCACTCCTTGGAAACCTATACAGGGTTGTTATGAGTTGGAACCAACTCGACAGCGCTTATAATAATAATAAGAATACTAGGAGTAATAATCCTGCTAGTACATCTGCTAGATGACTTTCAGGCATTATTTCATTGGTGCCACAGTGATGAAATCACTTGGCTGCTAACCAAAATGTCTGTGGTTCAAATCCACCCAACGCTCCCAGAAAGAAAACACCAGTGATCTGTTCTTGTAAAGATTAAGGTTGTTGTTAAGTGCTGTCGAGTCGGGTCTGACCCTGTATAGGGATTCTGAGGAGTGGCTGGTGAGCTTTAACCGCCAACCTGGTGGTTCAAACTGACTTTGAAGTCCAGCACAGTAACCCAGTGCCACACCAGGATTCCTTGTAAAGATTGTTGTTGTTGTTGTTAGGTGCCATTGAGTCGGTACCGACCCATAGCAACCCTATGCACAGCAGAACGAAACACTGCTCGATCCTGGCCCACCCTCACTACTGTCGCCACGCTTGAGTCCATCAATGCTGCCACTTGGTCAATGCATCTTGTTGGGGGTCTTCCTCTTTTTTCTCTGACCCTCCACGGTACCAAATATGATATCCTCCAGCGACTGGTCCTTCCTGACAATATGTCTGAAGTATGAGAGTCGAAATTTGGTCATCTTGGCCTCCAAGGAGGCTGCACTTCTTCCAAAACAGATCTATTGGTTCTTTTGGCAGCCTGTGGCACTTTCAATATTCTCATCCAACACCATAATTCAAAGGCATCAATTCTTCTACGGTCTTCCTTCTTCACTGTCAAGCGTTCACATGCATATGAGGTTATTGAAAATGCCATGGCTCGGGTCAGGCGCACCTTAGTCCTCAAGCTGACATCTTTGCTCTTCAACACTTTAAAAAGGTCTTGTGCAGCAGATTTACCTAATATAATACATTGTTTGATTTCTTCACTGCTGCTTCCATGAGTGTTGATAGTTGATCCAAGAAGAATGAAGTCCTTGACAACTTCAATCTTTTGTCCATTGATAAGAATGTTGTTTATTGGTCCAGTGGTGAGGATTTTGGTTTTCTTTACATTGAGATGTAATCCATACCGAAGGCTGTGCTCTTTGATTACAGCCTAGGAAATCCGATAGGGCAGTTCTATTCTATCCTATAAGGTCGCTGTCAGTCAGAATTGACTTGTCAGCGCACAGTAATACCATCAACCCCACCAGTGGACACCTGGGAAGACAGACTTGGAGATCTGTCTCCACAACGTCCGTCTTAAAAACCGTATGGAGGCTGTTCCACTCTGACACACATGGGGTGGCCAGGAGTCAGAAGACTGGGCGGTTGTTAACAACCACCCTTGAGATAGATATTATCATACCCATTTTACAGGTAAGAAAACTGGCCCAGAGAAATGCAGGATCTAGCCTGAGGTCTCGGCTAAAGGGGTCCCAACTCCTCCCACCTGGGTCCATCTAACACTGCTGTAGATGCCCTTTGGGGGTATTTAAGGTCAGATCATTCCCTGATTATGTCACAGACATGGTGGCTTAAACCTTGAATAGTCCTCCCTCTCTCTGGCCCTCAGGTTTCCTGTAGTTAGAGCCAGGACTAATAGGACCTGCCCTGATCACCCACTCATGGCCAGCACCATCAGAAGCCAGAAGCCAGCCAGTGGTCACTCAAGGGCCGCAGAGCTGGGACAGCACACCACTACCCCCACGCGGAGATTGCACACCCCCGGGGGCTCAAAGGAAAGCTCTGCAGACAGAGTTGTTGTTGTTAAGTGCCGCGGAGTGGATTCCGACCCATAGCGACCCTGTACAGGGTTTCCGAGGCTGTAAATTTTACGGGAGCAGAAAGCCTCATCTTTCTTCCACGGAGCGGCTGGTAGTTTCGAACTGCTGACCTTAAGGTTCGCAACCTGATTCGTAACCACTACGCTACCAGAGTTGTTGTTATGTGCCATCTTGAGTCGGTTCCGACCCATAGCGACCCTCTAGAGGGTTTCCAAGGAGCGACTGGTGAGCTTGAACCACCAACCTTGCAGTTCAAACTGACTCTCCAGTCTAGCGCATTAACCCACAGCGCCACACCACGATACCAGAGTAGGAAACCTTTATTGAAGGGCAGCAGGAGGGGTACCACACTCAGGGACTTCCAGTCCCGCAGGCCCAGCCTCTGCTGATGCGCGCTCGGGGTCCTCGGCTGACTCATCTTCGAACACTGCGCGGTGCATGGCGGCCAAATAGCTGCAGCCGCTGGGGTCGGTGAGGCGCATACGTAACAGGGGCAGAAAGCGTTCGGTGGTGAAGTAACGCAGCGCGGGCCGAGGATCGCGCAGGGCCTTGAGGAAGACCTGCAGCAACATAAGGAATCCGTGAGCTAGTGCGGGCGGGGTGCAAGCCCAGCGGCCGCCCCATCTCACGGTGTCCCACCCGGCACCCACCTCTGTTACTTCCTCCGGGTTCTGTGCCGCCTCACGGAAGACCCGCTCATAGTGGCGCTGGTAGCAGGAGAAGAGATGGCAGGTTTCGGCGTCCGCGTTGTGCAGCGCCCCACCAGGGCCGCCCTCCAGCTTCTCCTGGAAGGCGGTGTGCACAGGGCCACACTCGATGAGGCTCACGCTGCAAGCGAACAGCAGCGGATGGGTGGGGAGCCGGAGCCCCCAGGGCCAGCGGCAGGGGAAGCAGGTCAGGAGAGGTCAGTGCACAGATGGCGGGAGCTCGGGGCAACCGGAGCATTTGCACAGCGGTTTCCTACCCATAAAGCGCTTCGTGGCCACTTGAGGGTGTGGGAGAGACCCTGGAGTCAGAATTCGAATTCGCAGCTGTGTGACCTTGGGCCAATCACATACCCTCTCTGAGACTGCGTTTCCCAAGAACAATACCTCGCCAGGAAGGTTGCCTTGAGAGCTAAGGTATCATGCATACCCAGTACAGTACCAGGCACAAAACAAATACAAGAGGAGCAGGGAGGGGGCGGGGAGAATGGTTGCAACAAGACCGGGTGCTGGGGCTCCTACGGTTGGGGGTGAGGGGGCGGTGACTTACTGGACCCCGAAAACCGGCAGCAGAATCCCCAGACTCTCGCATAAACCTTCTAGGGCGAACTTGCTGGCGCAGTAAATGGCGTTGAAGGGCAGCGCTTAAAGGGGAGATGAGGTTGTTGAGAAGATGAGGTGGTCTCCTTATGCCTCTGGTAAAGAGCTAGCTACAGCTCCTCGAAGCTCCACCTCCTTGCCCCGCGGTCCCGCCGCAGATCACTTACCCATTAAACCTCCCACGCTCCCGGTCACCAACACACGCCCAGAGCGGCGTTTTTTCATGTCCGGCAGGAAGGCCTGTAGCATCCGCACTGTACCTGCCACATTCACGTTCAGCACAGAGTCCACGGCGCCAGCCACGTGTGCCTCCAGCGGCCCGAGTAGGCCCCGGCCCGCGTTACACACTGCAGGGACAGAGACATAGCCCGCCTGCTTCACCCACCGCCCTCAGCCTGTGCCTGGCCCCTGGGGTTCCCTGGGCTTCGGAGCATCCAGGTTTGGACACAGGAGTGGGAAGTCTCACCCAGCACATCCACACGGCCCTCGGCCACACTGGCACGGGCAGCGGCCACAGACTCACAGTCCCTCACATCCAATTGCAGTGTCTCCAGGGACCCAGGAGGGCATCCTCGGGCCCGAGCTGCTTCCCACAGTGGGCCCTGATCCTTCAGGTCCCTCAGCGTGGCATACACTGGAAATTCAAGGTTTAGGCAAAGATAAGAATCTGAATCCCTGTTCCTCTCCCTTGGCTCACTGAGGCCATGGGCTCTGCCTTTTCTGCATCCCCATCCCTGTATCCTCATATACCTTTGAAACTCTGGGATGGGTCCGATGCCAGACGCAGGGCCAGGTGCAGTCCGATGCCCGAAGAGCAGCCGGTGATGAGCACCACAGTGCGGTCCATGGTGAGAACCTTTTGCAGATAGCTAGTCACAGGCTCTGGTCACAGGGCTAAATATCTACTTGGCCCCACCCTTGCCTGCGGGTGCCCCCACCTCTTGTTGTGTCTGTTGTGTAATCTCAAGGCTGAGCCTGCCTGTGGATGCCTGGTGGCTCCCTACCCTGCCCTAGGTCAAGGCAGAAATGAGGCACCTACTAGGAACACCTGACCTGCCTTTGTTGCTGCCCAGAGGGCGGGAGGAGGGACTTTCGCTTTGCAAGATGGTGTGGCCCCTCATTTAGGCACTTCTGTCCTACCACAAGTGTCATTTCCAGAGTTTGCCTGCTGCCCAGGGGATGAAAATAAATACTTTCGAAGGGGATGCTTAGCTCAAAGGCCAGGGGGTAAAATTTAAATTGGGAAAGTTGATGCTAGTGATGGTGTGGGGGGGAGCTGGCCCTACACCTGGGTCCACGCTGAACTTGGGTCCACCCTGAGTCCTCCCAGGCATCCTGATAATGACTTTTTCACTCTGACAGACAGGCTAGGACTGATTCATCAGTTTATTGATTTGACACAAAACAGTACTTTGACACCAAATTCGGAATGGTGGTGGAGGGCAGCTAGACTCCCCCATACCTGATCCTATCAGCAGGTCTTACATTCCTTCTCTCAGACCTGAGGACCTCCAGTGATGCTTGTCCAGTTGCAGGCCCTGGGAACCTGCCTTGACCTGGCATTTGGGAAGAACATGACTCAAGGAGGATCAAATCGTCACAAGGAGCCGGCTACCCACTGAGGGTAATATTTGAGGAAGAGTTTCTTAGCCAAGTCCACAGTGTCACCTTGCGGCTGGCTAGGATATCTCTTTGTGCTGAGAACAAAGGCCTGCTCCAGCTGGAAGACATCCTTATCAAACTGGTGTTGTTGGAACGGTACGTCTTGGACTAAGCTCTCAACCAATGTCCCCACAAAGAGCTGCCAGCGGGGGGTGTAGTAGTCAGCCACCAATCCTGCGAACTGCTTGTTAGCGTAGTCTAGGATATTTCCCACAGGTCCCCACAGGGTCAGCTGGTAGCGGCTGTTCTGCTCAAAGAAGTGGGCCTCAGCTTCACTGACCGCTGCCATCCTGGCCTGCTCCAGCCAGCTGCCCAGCAGGAAGTGGTGGTCACTAGCCAGCACCTCATCCAATGCAGGCAGAAGCTCATAGACCAGGACGCCTCCAGCCCTAAGCAAGTGAACCAGCTCCTTGTTGAGGTAGGCAGTCCTCACCTCCTCATAGTACAAGCTGACCAGTTCCTGGGCTGCTTGGCGAGTGACGTCCAGCAAGTCATAGCGGAAGGCTGGGGTGGTGGCCAGGGTTGGAGCAGTTGTTAGCAGCAGCCGCCAGGCCTCAAATACATCTGATCGGTTGTACCAGACAGTGGTGTTCATCTGTAAGGACGGTCGCTTGACTAGTGGGCTGCGATTGTGCCCACTGCAGGCCTCGCCAGAGCAATTGTAGACACTCCTGAGCAGGAGTCTCCATGCTGCCTCTGTACCCTGCTGGTGGCCCCCATACCGCCGGTCAGCAAAATTAGTCACCCAGGCCCTTAAATCTGGTATTGGGTCCTTCCGCCAGCCCAGTTCAGCCATGAGGGCGTAGACCATTTCATTCTGGCCAATGCCTTCAGGGGCCATGCCTGTACCCACCATGGTGGAGTTGGGGAAGAGGCGGGCAACTGCAGGGCCTTGGTTCACAGCCTCCAGAGTTCCAAACAGGCCGTGGTTGCCCCCGAAATTATGCAACATGCACCAGATGAAGGGCTGGCCTTGGAAGGAAGCCGTGCGGGTGTACACAGGCTGGGTCTCAGCAAACAGGTCGAGAACCAGGAGACGGCCACAGGGAACAGCCCCCAACACAGCCCCAATCTGGGCAGGCCCCCAGAACTGGGGCTGGTGCTGGAAGAGCCAGCCTTGAAGCAGCCACACAGCCTCAGGGTCTACTGTGGAGGGGGAAGGGAGGAAGGGAAATAGAGAAGAGGGTCAGGGGAACATTTTCCCCATTCTTCAGATAAGTGGTTCTTTCTACCACAAGACACTCTGGGGTTTAGAATTTACCTTTACCCAAAGAATGTGGTCTTTGTCCTTGGTTCCTAAGATAAAATATCTTTTTAAAACCTTGGAATTTATGTGTTTTTTCTAAAGATTCCAGGCTCCATGGAACAGATGAGATGATATGATGAGGTGACTTGGGGAGAGAGCCCTCATGACTCCCCAGTGGCATTCGCACACAGGAGGGGAGAAATACAGGGCTGGAATCTGCATTACATAATGAGTCAGAACCAACTGGACGGTACTTAAGAACAGCAACACATGTGACTACTGAGTCCTCGGGTGCTGTAGGATAAGCACTGGACCACAAGGTCAACGGTTCAAACACACCAGCCACTCCTTGGAAACCCTACACAGGGTTGCTATGAGTAGGAATAGACTCAATGGCACTTAACACCACCAACATGACCCCAAATAAAAGGTCTGTGCCTGGCTTATGGAAGACCCCATTGGAGCTTTGTGCTGGGACCCCCCACCCCCCCCAGACCTCACCCTCTTCCTCGCTCCCATTTGTATCTTCTTCTTCATAAGTACGGTACTTTCTGTGAATTCTATACATTATCAAACCCAAAGGAGTCAGTAGGTCAGAAGGGAGGGAGCCCTGGGGGTCTCCAGAGCTTACTGCTAGCATCCTGAAGAGGTGGTGGGAAAAACCCTGAATTTGCAGCCAGCAGGTCAGAAGTCAAACTTGTCACTAGCATCTGCCTACCAGTCTGTAGTACAGGGTCCTTTTAATTTGTGAGCTCTGACTTCATTCCGGGTGGCTAACGTCAGAGAAAGAAGTGATATGGAGGCAGCTGGTCAGAACTAAACAGAGAAGTGAAAAGTGGGGAGTTGTTCCATCTGCTCTCACTTCCTTCCCCCCCTACCCCCAGCAACAGGACATTCCATCAACATGTATCTTCCCCTATCCTGCCCTTTCTCCACAGCTGGGAGCACCAAGACTGTGCTGGCACATGCTGCTGAGCTGATTTGGACTCAGCAGCCCGATGTGATAGAGTAGAACTGCTTCATAGGAATTTCTAGGCTATAATTTTTTCAAGGACAAATAGCCAGGTCTTTCTCCTGCAGAACCACTGGGTTGGTTTGAACCTCCAACATTTTGGTTAGCAGCTGAGTGCTTAATCATGGCACCAACTGGGCTCCTGTGATGGTGTTTATCAAGTTGTATGAAGCATCAGAGTTATCCAGAAGGCTTGAGAAAGCAATGATTCCTGGACCTTAGGCCTGGACAACCTGTTCAACAAGTCTGACGTGGGCTTGAGAATTTGTGTGTCTGGGTGAGAGGCATGCTACTGCTGCTGCTGCTCTGGGTCCGCCTGAGGCAGTGCTGCTCCAAGAAACCTGAGTGAATCTGCTCCCGGCCTGGGCCTGGCTGACACAGAGACCTGCCCACCCAGCCATTCCTGACCCGGCCTGGGCCCCTCGCTCCCTCCACTGTAAGTGGCAGAAACACTGCTTCCCATTACCTACTGCATCACTCAAGTCAAAACCAAAGAAACTACTTTCGATAGCCAACACTCAATCAGTGTTAACTCTGAGCCAGGCGTCATTCTACCTATGAGGCAGCCCCGTTTTACAGATGAAGCAACTGAGGCACTGGGAGGGTGGAAACACCACTCCAGGCTCTGAGGCCAAATGACCTGATCTGGCTCCAGAGGTTACGTTCTCAACCCCCGTGCGCGTCAATGAGATGATGTGTGTGTACAAGTGCTTTAGATGCTGGAAAGTTCTGTGTCACAGTCCCTCCTTTGATCCCCACTTGACCTCTGCCACCCCAAATTGATCATCCTGCAGACTTTCCCTTCTTGCTTCCTGGGCATCATACCTGTGGTCATGGCCTGGTATACAGCAGCAGTGGCTGCGGCGAGGTAGGCAGGCTCTGAGGAGGGGGGCTGCATCTCGTTGAAAGTGTCGGCACCATAGATGTGGTCTGTGCCAAACTCTTTGGTCAGCTCCCGCAGGAAGAGACTCCCAATAATGGGGAACATGGGGTCCCCCGGAGCCAGGAGGAAGGAGCAGGAGTAGGAGCAGTTGAAGTGTCCCCAGCTGCCCATCTGGGTGACATTGACCAGAGGGAATACCCTAGTGGTAGGATGACAGCCAAGATGTTTACTGGGTGTACGTGGGACATACCCCAACTCTCATCCCTGCCCGCAAGTACCGCTAATTCCCAGAACATGTGTACACAAAGCTACTCCAGCTGACAAGATTCTCATCTTGGCCCCAAACCCCTTCCGCAGCCTCACAAGTTTACTGACCTACAGCCCTGGACCACAGCTTGGCTTCAGGCCTCCATGCCTTTACACAAGCCATGCTTATCTACTTGGTTACCCCTCAAAATCCTGTAAGCGGCACCTATTTTGGTATCTGGCCAAAACAAACAATACTCATGCTTTAAGACCTGGCTCAACCCCTGCTCTGCTCTGAGCCTCTGACCACCTTCCCAGGACGAATGGTCCTGACAGTGGGCCGTGGTCTATGTCCACTCTAATCACTAACAAGTCTCACTGGGGGCAGGGATTCAGTGCACCTTTGCCACTGTTTCTTCAGGGCCCAGGACAGAGTGGGTCTAACAGCCCCAGACTGTGAGACAAGCATTCACTCAGTGAGTGAGGGAGTAAGACTCCTGCAGCCAAGCAGACACATACAAGGCAGCAAGTGAGGTCAGCCGCTGGACTACTGAGCAGTGGGAACAGGAGGCCTGAGGGGAGTTGGCACTTTACAACTGAGGGGATGGAAGCACAGAGAAGTCACGTAATCTGCCCAAGGCTGTTAGCCAGAGGCAGAGACAGGAATTAAAACCAGAGCTTATGTTTCTCTCTAAATTATGTATATTGGGGCAAAACACATCCCCCTCTAAGCTGCATGGAGATGAGGGGGGCTCACCTAGTAATAGCCTTGGGGACATGTCCTGCGAACGCAGGCAGCACTGGGATCATGCCGAACGAGCGCATCCGGTCCAGAATCTGATGCTGGGAGGAGTGGGAGAGGGAGCTGGTGAGGGCCTGGGCCATAGGACTGAGTGAGGCTGGCCAAATACCAGTCTCCCGAGACCCATGACCACCCCAGCACCTCTTTCGTCCTCCACCTTTGCCATCCTCTTACCTGAAGGTAAAGCTGCTTGAGGTGCCAGGAACGGGGCAGAGGCCCACCCCAGCTGTGCAGGTTGCCCATGCGCTCCCAGGCAAGGAAGGCCGGACCAGTGAAGTACTCATTAATCTCTGACTGAGTTAGGCCCAAAGCCAGATACACCTGAGGAGGGATGAAACCCACACGCAGCAATATATTCATCCCTACTGGCTGAGTTCTTTCAACAAACACCCACTCATCTCTTCTGGGCTGGGTACTAGGGCTATAAAGACACACAGAAAGCAAGCCTTATTTGCAAGGAGCTTACAGTCCAGGAGAGGGAAACAGATCGGTTTCTGAACAGATGAGTTTACTGTGTCATGCTTGTCATGTACGTGAGGAGGTGGGACACAAGAGGCTTTCCCCAAACTGGAGAGAGAATGACAGAAGGCTTCATGGAGCAAGGATGACAACAGGTCTTTTTGGGAAGCCAGAAGGGAGGGAGGACTTCTGGGTGGAGGTCACAGAGGCAGCTGAGCAGCTAGCCTGACACAGGATGAAAGGGGAGCTATCCAGCAAGGCTTCTCAGCAGAAGGTCACTACCATATCTGCATTTCAGAAGGGAGTGGGAGCCCTGTTCTGAGGCTGTTATGGGTCCAGGGTGGGGGATGAGAACCTGAACTGAGGTAGTGGATAAGGATCTCAAGGAAGAGGCAGATCAAGAGCCGCTGGTGTGATGGACTCTATGGGATGAGGTGCATGCAGAGTGGGGCGGGGGACAGAGGAACCCCTGCTTCATGAGCTGTATGTAGTAGGGGCCTATTACAAAGTGCGTGCTCACTACACGTTTGTCTCAGGAGTGTGAGCCCGTGTTCAGAGGACTGGAACCACAGCACACCCTTCAAAACACTTCTCGAGCCCTTATTCTCTGTGTACCTGACACTGCGCTGGCCCAAGACAGGAGGGGACGAAAGGGTTGGCCCCTGCAGATGAGCCGGTGCAGTGGGCAGGAGAGCAGAGGAACCAGGAGGTCACGCACCCGCTGCCAGATGGCCTCCTGGCCGCTCCAGGCCAGCGCCAAGTTGATGCCGTTCAGCGCCATCCAGTCAATCTCCTGCTCCCAGCGGGCCCAGTCCCACCATACGAAGGAGTAGCTTTGTGTACACACATTCTGGTAATAGCGGTACCTGCAGGCAGGGGCAAGAGCTGACATATGTCCCTGAGAGCAGACAGGATGTCCCCCACCCTAAGTCTTGGGATATCTTAGAGAGGGGCCTGGTCCTGGAACAAGCCCGTGATCATATCTGGTCTAGTGGGAGGGGTTCCAAACATGGCCCCTCTACTGCTTCACTCCTATCTGAGACTCCGAGGGACCTGCCGCCTGTCCCCAGCACTTCCCCAGAATCCTAAAATGATCCCTGCCTACAGTGGCAAGTCCTAGAGCAGAGGGTGGGCGTGGCTCCTCAGTAAACTTCCTCATCAGGCAAGGGGTTGGGGGGAGAGAAAGGAGACAGTAAAATGTATTGACCCAACTCTACTCCAAATGTCCCTCAAATTCTCATAACCAACATTGTATGATGGATAATTCCATTTCTCTGATGAGTCCACTGAGGCTCCAAGAGGCCAAGGGACTTGCTCAAGGACACATCGCTTGTAGGGGCAGATCTGGGAGTTGAAGTTAGTTGTTGGATTTCCTTGCTAGTCTCACGTGTTTCTGCAGTGACTAGCCCAATGCAGAAGTGGGGCAGGGACTTCACAGGCAGGGCTGGCGCCGCGGGGCTAGAAGGAGGAGGCAACTGCAGGGGAGCGCCCTGGCCGCGGGGAGCGGTTTGAACCACCGGGCTGGGACCGAGTACCTGTTGGGTGTGGCCTCGGTCAGCTCCTGGGGCACGGCGGGCAGAGGCTGCGGGAGGTGCAGCTGGGAGCTGGACCAGGCCACGTGGCAGCCGCAGAAGTCGCGCAGGTAGCGGTATAGCCCCGCGGCGGCGGCCACGCCCGTGGAGCCCGTCACCCGCACTTGAGCTTCTGCGCCGCCGCCGCTCAGGCGGTAGGTGTCCAGGCCGGACTCCGCCGCCAGAGAGCGCTTCACCGTCACAGAGAAGTTAGCTGCCGGCCCGGATCCCAGCAGCCGTACCAGGAGGGCCCGCACGGCCGCCGCCTCCCGAGCCTCGTCCCCGGCCGAGTTCCCTGCTCCGGCCAAGAGCAGGAAACCCAAAGCCGCGGCCACCGTCACCGCCTCCATAGCCCAGCGGTCTCAGCCTGCCCGCGGTCCAGCCAGGGACCAAATCGAGATTCGCGGCCAGGGGGCGGAACGGTCTGCTTCCAATCAGCTGTAGACTTCAAGTCACGTGCAGCTAAAAGGCCCGTCTCAGGGAGACTTGACTTCCGGGTCTCAGGCTAAATGCTGAGCGTGTATTCTGACGACTTGAGGTCGGGGAGCGCGTGACCCTTGTAACATCAATTCAGGGCCGGGTGGGACCCATTTTCTTTCACAAAACCACTTCAGGAATAAGGCTATTCCCCATGCAAGTCACTTTCCATTCATCCAATAAATATTTTCGTTAGGTGTCGTTGATGGCGACTTTATGCACAAGAGAATGAAACATGGCTTGGTCCTGCGCCAATCTCACAATCGTTGCTACTGCCACTGTATCAGTTCATGTCGTTAAGGGTCTTCCTCTTTTTCACTGACGTTCCACTTTACCAAGCATGATGTCCTTCTCCAGGACCAGTCTCTCCTGATAATATGTCCGAAGTATGAGAGAGGTCTGGCCATCCTGGCTTCTAAGGAGCATTCTGGCTGTACTTCTTCCAAGACAGATTTGTTTGTTCTTCCTGCAGTCCATGGTACTTAGCATTAGCTATTGCCGTATCTAGGCAACTAGGACTCCTGGTGTGGCGCTGTAGGATCAGCACTGGACTGGGAATCACAAGGTTGGCAGCTCAAACCTACCAGCTGCTTCTCGGAAACCCTATACAGGGTCGCCATGAGTCAGAACCAACTTGACGACACTTAACTGGGCAGCTGGTGAATGGGGAAGACCTAGAAGGCAAATACTGATTATAAAGATTTGCCCTACAGTTGTAATGCGGTAAAAAGGTACAAAGCTACCAGACTGAGACAAGTAAAATGACACTTAATTTGAAACATCAAGGATGATTCACTAGGAAAAGGAGGAGGAAAGGAATCTCACTCAGCAGAATACATGCACACATGAAGCCCAAGAAGTTAAAGAGCTATGGGATTTGGGGAACTGAAAGCTCAGAGGCTGGAGGGATGGGCAGTGAATCATGTCGCTGTGGGAAGGCCCTGATGGGCTATGTATAGGGCTTTCCATTCGTTTTCAAAGGGAGTAACAACCAGACCCAAGTCTTCATTTTACAGATTGGTAAACTGAGGGCCAGAGGAGAAAGTGAATTGAGAATGATCGATAGCCACTAGGAAAGCAAGGTTAGGACTAGAAACCTGGGATCAACGCCCAGATTAGGGTTCTAGCAATTATCCCTCAAGGGAAGCAACTTTCAGGTTGCCCACTTGGATACAGGGTCTGAGTAGGAATGTGTGGTTGGGGGAGGCTATAGAAAGAATGCTGTTCCTAAAAGATCTCTTCATCCTTTTGGAGGCAGGTGTAGATTTTTTCAGATTACTAGGTCTGAGTAAAGAAATTTGGGGATTGGGAAGGGGTAAGAGGGTAAATGTCTACTTCAGAGAGTTCAGAGGCTGAATTGAACGAGAATACAAGAGTCCACTGCTCTGCCACCACCTGCCCACAGCTGCAGTAGCCCCTATGTAGGAGTCTTGGTACAGATATGGTCGCTGCTCCCCTGTTGTTTCCAGAATCTAGAGGTCCTCAGCCTTTCCCAGAGAGCAGTTCCAAAGTTGGACAGAGATGTGCCCTGATGGAGCATGTTGTTGTTGTTAAGTGCCATTGAGTCGGTTCTAACCCATAGCAACCCTGTATAGGGTTTCCGAGAAGCAGCTGGTGAGCTTGAACTTCCAAACTTGCAGTTCAAATGGCTTTGCAGTCTGGCAAACCCACAGCGCCACACCAGGACTCCTATGGAGCTTAGAGCCAGGGAGATTGATCAGCCTCTGCTCCTGGCTCATCTGTTTTCCCTGCATTTCTGGGTCTCAGGGTGCCTCTCTGTGGGGCTAAGTTTATTAGGCGTGGTGGTGGGATGCCGGCAGGGCTAGCAGGTTGGTGGGGGGAGGAGACAAGGGGCTGCACTTGGGCAGGCATTAAATCCATTTTAAATTTTTTCCTACTAGGCTGGGAACTCTTTGAGGACAGTAAAGTACTGTTAAAAAATTTTTTTTAGGATGAAATGTCAAATATTTGCTTAAAAGAGTGAGGAAGGTGTATTGTATTGATTTGGAAAGCTCTGCAAGCTATATTAAAATTTAAAAATAGGTCACAGCTGAGGGTAAAATACACTCCCACCTGTGTGTGTTTAAAGGCTATGTAAATAAGGTACTGGGTCTCTGAAGGTGGGAGGAAGAATTACTTTAATAACAGAGCCTTTTGTACTGTTTGCTCTTTTTATTATGTGCAATTAAAAAAATTAATGTGTGTGAAAATGTGCTTTCCACTCCCCATCTTGTCTTTTGCTTATGCACCCCAGGATGGTCAGGCCAACCCAGGCCCCTACTTCTCACAGCCCAGCTACAAAGTCGCCCCATCCTGCCAGGCAGGAGGAATAGTTCTTCCCTGTCTGGCCACCAGAGGGTAACCCTACACCTAGATATGGTTTGGGGAGGTGGAGGAGCTGGGAGGTTAGTCCATCTGAGTGGCTGAGGCTTGCTGCAGCTTTTTAAATTCCAGAGCACCTTTACCTTGGGGCAGAGAGAGGCTGAGGAGAGAGGAGAGAAGTGTCCTGATAGTGATGAAAAATCCCCCAATCTCTATGATGGTTAGGACTTCCCAAAGATGAGGGGCACTCCCCGCAAGAGGGGCACAGATTAACTCAAAAGGTATTGGAGTTCAATGATTGCACAAGAAGGGAGTAAGTATAAAGGCAAACCT